TCATCGCTTCCTGCTCCCATAGATCTATCCTCACTATCATCATCCCTTTATCAGTTCACCCCTTCATCGCTTCCTGCTCCCATTGATCTATCCTCACTATCATCATCCCTTTATCAGTTCACCCCTTCATCGCTTCCTGCTCCCATAGATCTATCCTCCCTATCATCATCCCTTCATCAGTTCACCCCTTCCTGCTCCCATAGATCTATCCTCACTATCATCAACCCTTTATCAGTTCACCCCTTCATCGCTTCCTGCTCCCATAGATCTATCCTCACTATCATCAACCCTTTATCAGTTCACCCCTTCATCGCTTCCTGCTCCCATAGATCTATCCTCCCTATCATCATCCCTTCATCAGTTCACCCCTTCCTGCTCCCATAGATCTATCCTCACTATCATCAACCCTTTATCAGTTCACCCCTTCATCGCTTCCTGCTCCCATAGATCTATCCTCACTATCATCATCCCTTCATCAATGATTTTAATTGATAGTTAAATATCAAATGTTTCTACTGGTAGAAAAAACTTCACAGAAAAACTTCTATATTACTGAGGACCTTCTATGCTCAGTTTGAGTTTATGAGATTAAGACAATATATTAGGGCTGCAACTAACGATTATTTTAAAAATCGATGAATCGGACGATTATTTTTTCGATTAATCGATGAATCAGACAAAAAATATTTTTTATATTAACCTCTTTATTCCAAAATAAACATTTTAGACAGAACAAACAAGCACACAAGTACAGGTTGCTCCTTAACTGTACTGGTGCAATATGAAAAATAAATGTTTGTGTTAAAACTACGCAAACTTACATGAGAAATGTAGCTGTACATCCACAAAATATGGGGTACTTTGTTTCATAAAGCGCAAAAAAATACATTTTTGTTTTTAAAAGCCCCTAAGGGGTTCAAACAATAGGCCCCCCCATTTCAACAAATGAGTTTTTTTAGACTAGAAGAGTTCTGCCTTTTAAGACAGGAAAGTACAGCAGTTAAAGTTGCTACTTGAGAAAATACTGAACCATAGAGATAAAAATAGCCTGTGATTCAAATTATAAATTGTATTTGGAATAAAAATGAGAGAACTAGGGGTGCTAAAAAACACATCCTCCAAAGACAGATATTTACATGGGAATGTGGCAGATAATTAATTTACATATTACTGATCTTGCTGGATTTTATTCTGCTTTACTTCCATAAATTGCAGGATCTTCTTTACTTTATCTTCGCCAGAAGATTTAAACTTTAAAAGCCTTGCCCTCATAATTTGCAAGTTAATTTATTTATAAAGTAAATATAAACGCTGCTTAAGCTAATTCAAATGAAATTAAAAGTAAAATAAGTAGCCAACCTTATCACTGTCTGTAACCTACTAACAAGGTAAGGAAAGCATCAGATGAGCTACCTGAGAAACTAACGTAACGTTTCCCCACTTTAAAACCAAACAAACATGGTGGTTCCGTGCCATGTTAATTTCTTTTGAAAAAAGTTGCATGTTATCACTTTTTTCGCTTTACAAAGCGCAGGCTATTTTAATTATTGCGATCAATTTGCGCCGTCAATCCCGGCGCATGCGCGCTTCATTTGCAGTCTGGACGCTGAGGGTCTGACTGCAGCACTGAGAGGGACTCCTGCGGGAAAACGCAGTTTGGGGTGGGGGAGGCGCCCTACGGCAGAGTAGGAACGATACATGCTTTCACGTAAGAGTCTCTAAAAGCCGCCAGTGACACCGAAAAAAGTCGCCCGATTTGTCGCTAGTCGCTTTTTTGAAAAATAGTCGCTGGAGGGGTCTGAAAAGTCGCTGAGTTGGCAACACTGCACCTGCGGCGCTGACTCGCTCTGCCATATCTTTTTTTCTTCCTCTTTCAGTCAAGAGGCAGTGATGACGGCGCGGCGGATGACGCAATAATCGTGCGACACAACTAATCGATGATGAAATTTGTTGCTAACGCTTTTAAAAGTCGATTTTTATCGATTTTATCGATTCGTTGTTGCAGCCCTACAATAAATCCATCCATCCATCCATCCATCCATCATCCATCCATCATCTTCATCCATCCATCTATCCGTCATCTTCATCCATCCATCCATCCATCCATCATCTTCATCCATCCATCCATCATCCATCCATGCATCATCCATCCATCATCTTCATCCATCCATCTATCCATCATCCATCATCTTCATCCATCCATCCATCATCTTCATCCATCCATCCATCCATCATCTTCATCCATCCATCCATCATCTTCATCCATCCATCTATCCATCATCTTCATCCATCCATCTATCCATCCATCCATCCATCCATCATCTTCATCCATCCATCCATCATCCATCCATGCATCATCCATCCATCATCTTCATCCATCCATCTATCCATCATCCATCATCTTCATCCATCCATCCATCATCTTCATCCATCCATCCATCCATCATCTTCATCCATCCATCCATCCATCATCTTCATCCATCCATCCATCATCCATCCATCCATCTATCCATCATCCATCCATCATCTTCATCCATCCATCCATCATCCATCCATCCATCATCCATCCATCATCTTCATCCATCATCCATCCATCATCCATCCATCATCTTCATCCATCCATCCATCATCCATCCATCGTCTTCATCCATCCATCATCTTCATCCATCCATCCATCCATCCATCCATCATCCATCCATTATCTTCATCCATCCATCATCCATCCATCCATCCATCCATCCATCCATCATCTTCATCCATCCATCCATTATCTATCTAATTGGATTTATTCATGGATTTTTCAGCATTTCATCCTGGATCAGTATGTGGTGACAGCAGACAGTTGCTTGCATCGTGTCTTTGATTCTACAGCAATCCTTCACACTGAGCTTGCACGCAGCAACAGTGGGCAGGAAAAACTAACAAAAAAGAAACATAAAATCAAAGATTGCTAAACGCTGTCAATGGAAAAAAAATATAACAAATACATCCTTAGATGTAAAAAGCAAAAAAAAACCTTATTTCAGTTTTAATGCGCATTATTATTTGCTGAAAACTTCGTAAAACACTTGGACGCATCGTTGGTGTTAACATTTAACTCCAAAGTCTTTCAGATGCTGCAGAAATTAAAGGTGTTCAACTTTCATATAAAGCAAAGGTAGTGGAAACAGATCACTCGTGGACATAGTTTATACAACAGTTATCTAAAGTCAGGTTTTTAATGTCCAACATATTTTGGATGTTATCATGATCATTGCCGCATTCTGGAGGACTCAGTCGCTGTCGTCTCTCGTTCAAATCTTGACCTTTGCACTGCGTCACTCACTTTCCCTCCACACGCTTCCTGAAAACTGCTGAATTAAAGGGCCATGAGCCCCCCCCCCCCACATGACAGCAGCCCTTTAAGACGGGAACTGAACATTCGGCTTTATCACCTCTGTCATTAATCTTGAAACCACTTCCTCTGCTGATATGTTATAAGTTTATATTTTCAGCACTTTTCATTCTAACACACATTACTGTCATTATATAATATGTAAGTTAATATACTTAATATAGCTTTAGTATCATAATCAGACATACACTAATAGCAGATGTCAGTCGATTTAAATCGGCTTCATAGTTATCAAACTAATGAATATAAATAACTGAATATTCGCCTGGATCTATTTGGAAAGTCTAGTTGGAAATCTCTATAAAGAGGCTTCAGTTTTTGTGCTTTTTGCCTTTTTGCCATCTTGCAGTTTTTTAACCTCTAACAGTTTCCTATGTTACTGTTTCTGCTACGAAATCCAGGATATATTTTAGGCCTCATTGAGTAACATTCCAAACGCATTTTAATCAGAGGTGCCTAAAATACTCCCATGCTTAAAATGGACTTAAAGTACAGATTGAAATGCTTTATTGAAGTAGCAGTTTTACACTAAAGTATAGAAGTCAAACTAGCTTTGACTCTATTAGTAAAGACATGGCTTTATGCAGAAATTTTAGTTGTGATGATTGAACTGAACATCTGTCTGTTAATAAGTGGCTGAATACTTTCAGTGCTCCTGATTTCATTATTGCTGCACAAATAGAATTTGAAGCATAATCCACACCTGAATTAAAAATCTAATGAATCTTTGATGAATAATTAATAAGTTTATGATCAAATATTTTGGATATTGTCTCCAATGTACTCTTGCTGCATTAGAATGCGGCTCATTCTATGCAATTCAATTCTATTCACTTTATTTCTATAGCTCCATTTCACATCATGTCATCTCAGGTCACTTTCCAGTTCACCAGATCATCCAGTCAGATTGATTCAAAGTTTTCTATCTAAGGAAAACCAGCTGATTGCATCGACTCATTGACTCTTCAGCAATCCCTCACACTAAGCATGCTTGTAGCGACAGTGGAGAGTAAAAACTCCCTTTGAACAGGAAGAGAGTTTGTCTTTGGTCAGGGTTTAACAATAAGAACTAACATAGTCCTTCAATTATTTAATAAAAGAAAAAGGAATAAATGTGATTGAAATGTGAGTGAGTTTAGCGCCTCTGCTCTATTATTACTGTAGCAAAAATGAAGATTTTCTAACAAATGTAGCTGTTTGTGTAATTTTGTCATGACTCTCTTATAAACATAAACCCTGAAGCATTTCTTTTCTCCCTTCATCTTCAGCATCATATATTTGTTTTTTTTCTGTCCCTGAACGTGGAAACAGCTTTCAGACATTATTCTGACTTGGCTCTCCAGGTCTGTGGTCATGTGTCCAGGAAATCATATCTACAGATAAAGCCGACTTTGTTAGAAAGTGTGCACCTCCTGATGAAGGCGTTTATTGCATGAAAATCACACCTGTTGGTTGGCTGATCAGTATCGCGCGTGGCGGTGCTACAGGAAGGCTTACCTGCAACAGCCTGCTAATTATGCAAATACGGAGCCTGTGCGGTGGGATTTGAAGAGGCTCTTTGTACTTTCCCTCCTGAGAGGGAGAGACGGGTGGAGGGGGTGTAGGGGCGGATTGGTGGAGGGGTGGCTGGGTCAGAGGTAACTGAAAGAGTAGAAAAGACAGGCGTTAGAGAAGAGGGAGAGCCAGTCACTATGACTTGTGTCAGCAGAACTGTTCCAGGCAGTGAGCGATTTTGGATTCCTGCACTTCCAGCCGGCCCGACCAGGTCAGTACAGAGAGCAGGAGGAAGGTGGAGGAGCAGCAGCTACTCTTCTTTTTTATCTTTTTATTGTTTCAAAGCTCTTTTAAATTCAACTTATCGGCTCTCAAAGAGCAGCGTCTGTAAAACGCCAAATCAGATTATTCATTGATGGGTTATTTTAAACCTTTATAGATGAGATGCGGTTTGTTTAAATTATGATACACTTTGCTGGAAGCTCTTTGGGTGATAAGGCCGAGCCAGGCCCTGTGGGCAGACGCGCTCTAGCTGGTGCAAGCGCGTTGGATTGTTTTATCATCCCTAAGCAAATACTGCTAACTGTGAAACATTTCCCCAAACATTTGTTTATGCATTGCTTCACACTTGTCTTGACATGACAGCGAAGCAGGTAGGAAACTCACTGTGGGTGCCCTGTCATGAAAAGCTGCTGACAATTGAACAATGTGTGAGAAATGGCGTGCTAATCAGGGATATCGTGTGCTGTGGATATTCGCCGCATTTTTATTTGTGGTCTTTTTAATTTCCCCTTGCTTTGATTGTCGGGATGGTTCAATGCAATAAATCTTGCTTAGCTGTTGAAGCTGTCACTCACATTTACTGACAATGCAATTGTCTTCATTTATATATTGCCAAATAAACCTTCCAGTGTCTCAGACTTCTTTCATCTGTTGAGAAAGCCCTCTGGCATTCAAGCCTTGGCTTTTGTGTACTCTCAGCAATTTGGCCCCAGGCACTCGTTGAAAGACAACAGGAATGATATAAACCCTAAAAGCTGCTCTTCTCAGGAGTGGGAAAGCAAAGATAGAAAAAAAACAATGAGGAAACAAAAGAAAAGAAAAAGAAAAGAAAGGGAGAACAAGAGAAGGGATTTGCATTGCCAACCCCCTGGGGACTAAATGTTAGGTTTTGCGTGTTACAACTTGTTGGGTAACTGAAGTTTTTGTGTAAAGTGATTCTTGTGTCGTGGGAAGTGTAACGTTTCAGTGTTTTCAGCGTTCAAAGGAGCGGAGTTGATTTTTATCTGCGAGCAGAAGTGTCCTTTGTCTTCTGTCGTTCATGCGGTAGGACAGCTCAGCGTGGTTAAGGTGCCCTGAGCCTCTGCCTGGATACCGAGCCATGGACCTGCTGTAGGAGGTCAGGTAACCATTTTGGCTTTCTCGCTAAACAACCTTTATTATCTAAAAGCAAAACGTCATCTGTAGGAAATAAAAATACAACAAAAGATGCAGAAAAAAACAAACAGAAGATAGTTCTGCAAACACGTTAACACGATCGTGTCTAAAGGTAACCGAGGAAACCTTTACATGCAAATGACTCACTGGTTAAAATATTCTTCTCTAAACTCTGGATAAACAAAATTCCTCCTGAAATTATATTTCAGTTTTAGACCTTAAAACATTCTTGAATTGTTGATTTGACCACCTGATGGCAGCAAACAAAGCTGCTCAACAGATACATGGCAACGGGTCCAAAACATGGTGTGATTGTTTTAAGACATTTTGGATGTACTTCAAAATGTTAGATTTTTCCGTTACCACTTTTTTTCTCAAATTATACAGCAAATTGTAATTTCAGAGATCTTGATGAATACTAACAACTCTAACAGTGGTAGGAGGGAATCTGTCACATTCGAGGGTTTCAAGAGTAGCTCACATATTAAGGTATGAACACAGAGACACCTGTTTGAAGGACATACGGTTAAGAGACTTGCTTTTTTTTTATATTGATATATTTTTTTTAAGGAAGCAACAAGGCAAAAATTCTGCTCGGATTTTCTTCAAACACATTAGTTTGTTTTTTTTCCCCCTTTTTCTTCTCATCTAAGCAGACAAACAGTCTGAAAGGTTTGAGAAATGGGTCGTAGAGGAAAACACAGAAAACACAACAAACATCCAGGTCTTTGTTTTTCGATTGCAGAGAGCGACACGCTCAGTAGCAACAGATGTCATCGCCTTTTTGAACAGGAAGGATTTCTAATGCTACGCCCAGACCGAACTCAGCAGGAGCAGCAAATATGCACGTGCTGCCTCTTGTCCAAGTTTAGTTCTGACGTGTAGCTGAAGCATCTTTGCTGCTCTAGCTGCGCGGTGGTAAAGTGGGTCTGATGCGCGGTGGGCGGAGCTACTCTATCCTTTCTCTGCCTGGAACAATGGCAGCTATATTAGCTGTGATCAGTGGGTAAAAAGTAGTTAGAATCTATGTTGAAGTGATAAAGTCCTCCTGAAAACATGGTCTGTGCAGTCAGTTCATCCAGATTACCATCCTGCCTTCAAAGATTATTTCTCTGTGGGAGCCGCTCAGACCCCCACATACCGGCGCTGCGCTGTCACTGGGAATCCCCAGCAGCAGCTGCCTCAGGCCCGGGAGCCTCTTGGGGGTTTTCCCCTACTGTTGGTGGCGGCTGAAAGTAGATGTTAGCATTTCGATGTGGCGCTTCCAGCAGCTAAAGTAAAATTTTTCCAACTACAGCAGCTGCTGCTTGTGAAGCGCGTCAAATACGTCAGATGCTCAGAAGCTTATATGGCGCTGCTCCTGCACTCTAGACGCTACAGGACCTTCTGCTGCGCCTTGATGCGCGTCAACCATTGAGTTTGCATGGTAAACAAGCTGCTTCTGCAGACTCTACAGCATGCGGTCTGACCGTAGCATTAGGCACATGTTGATAATAATAAAAAAAATGTACAGCCAGTGCTGGAAACATTTCAGAGTTTTTAAAGTTACACAACATGCATAAAAACCAACAGTTAAACTCTGTAAAGATACTGAAGCGGAAATGGTTTGTTGGATGGTTGTCCTTCAATCACTGTCTGGGATGAAAATCAGAGAGTCTGAACTGTGCAACTCAAAAAATGAGCTTAGACTGTCAGAAAAGCAGCATAGAGCCATTTACCACAGAAACAGCAGCGTGTTAGAGAGTGGACGCTGTTCAAGCATTAGCTTGAACTGCAGCACTGCAGATATCAGAGCTTAAAGGGATCATAGAATGATTCTATAGGGTATCTGGTCCTTCAGGTCTCTGAATAGGGTGTGTGACATTGGTTGGGCTGAAAATGGCATATTAGCTGTTCTATGAGCCCTAATGCAGCCTGGTTAAAAGCCCTAGAATGAAACCACAAGTTTTCTTCCTTTTATGATATGATGAGGAATATTTAGATGAGCTGTGCTCTGATTGGTTAGTTTACAACGAGCCAAGCTGCTGAGCAAAGACGCATCATAGCAACAAGCACTCACTCACTGAAACATCAGATTGTTGATATGGTAGGGGGACCAGACATCCTCTTTTTCCCAGACATGAATTTCAAAATCGGGGACCCAGCGGGGGGCGGAGCGACCGAACCCGACCCGGTGACGGTGTGCTGAACTATCTTTATTTATCTATGTCAGTGTAAACTCAGTTTAGCATTCTATGACCCCTTGAAATGACATCTTTAAGATGCTCGGAACATCTTTGGTGTTAGCATGTAGCATGTGGTTTCATTTAGCTCTGATCCTCTGAACAGTGTTTCTGTGTTTAACCAAATGATCATGGTTCCACCAGCTCATTGTAACACCAGCAGCTAAAAGGTGTCTGTTATGTTTTAGGGCTATTGCTAGAGGAAGTCATGACTTTTGGCAAATATGAAATAGAAAAAGAAGCAGCATCTGTTGGCCTTCCATGTTTATTCTGTTTGTTTGATTTTGTGGTGGAGTTTGAGGAATGCCCTTCCAAGAACAAACACTTCCTAGCTCTGTTAGAGTGCTAAGAAGAGCTGGCAACACCTGAGCTCCGTCTAACCGGTGGTTTCTATTGGTCCAAAATCCTTTCATGTTGGTGTTGGAATAGTAACTAGAAGTAAATTTTTCTTTATTTTGGACCCACCAAAATTAACACTATTTTTGCTGTTTTTCTACACCACTCTAAACATTCTGTGGATATTATTATTGATCTTCTTAATGAAAATTTGTAGCTGTGACCTTAAAATAAAATAAAATAACATGATTTAAATGAACCTAAACAGCTTTTTAACTTTTACTTTTCACTGTTTTCCCTTGTTTTTCACGTTGAAATGATGGTCAGGCTGCCTCCAGACCATCAGACTGGAGTAACTAAAGGGGCGGGGCTTAAAGGAAAAGTCCAGTCAGCAAGGATCATTATTTATATCTAGAACTAATACGTTCGCAACGATTTAATTAATTTAGCGTTAATCAGTGAAGAATTTGAAATAATAATTTCTTCACGATCACTGAATCTGGGAGCGGCCATTTTTGCCCAAATATTGTAGTAAGTTTTAAAACTTCTTCACCCCCCCAATGTCTTTTTTTACCACATCTGCCACTGAGAAATCTAATGTCCAGATATATCTGCTCTGAATTAAAGGATAAGACATTTGAATTGATTTCTCCATGATTGTTTACTGAGTCACTCTAAGAACATTAAGAGGTTCAGGGGTTTGCCCAAATATAGTAGCCCCTCCCTCCTGCCATCCTCCAGCAGTGACGTCACGGTGCGGTAAGCCTAGCGCCATTCTCCCCGCTTTACAAGCTAAATCAATGGGAACTACTAGACACATCTGCAATCAACAACAATTATTGAAGATTTCCAGAGGACTTCACCATTGAAATTCACCAGAGCTATAGTGAAACTGACAATGCCCACGTGCATGGCAGCTGGATGCTGGAATACATCGGGTAAAAGTGAACAAAAATGAGTTATTCCACCTTTCTGATTCCTGATCCTCCACGGACGGGTTGGTCGTTGGATCGCCAACTTGAAGAGGGAGGATTTGCCATCGAACTTCTGGCCAGAGAAAAAACCCGTAATATGTAGCCAACATCTGGAAGAAGAATGTTTTCAAGATGACTTGGATAATAGCGCGTTGTGACAAACACCAGATACAGCACTGGGACTTGATCAACAGCCGATACTGCACCATGACGTCACAAACCAGTAGGTGGCAGTAGTGTTCTTTGAACAGCACTGGGTAGAAACATAAAAGAAGGCTTCAGCTTCCTCCTCCTCTATAGAT